ATAGATAGATAGATAGATAGATAGATAGATAGATAGATAGATAGATAGATAGATAGATAGATAGATAGATAGATAGATAGATAGATAAATATGAAATATAAAAAGATATTTTGGATTGTGTCAAACTGGACTTGTTCTGGCCTTCTATCTACTCTTGAGTGCATGAATGATACTTGTATCACAACTTCAGCACCACACATCATTGGAATCATTACTTAGTTTTTTCACATATAAATGTGTTAGACTGGTAAATATGCTGATAAATGTTCTTCATCTTTCCTCTGCATGTATCTCAGGCCTCCTGAGATTGGAGGAACTAGTCCGCCGTTTTCTCATCTCACGGGAGACACTGTCTGTCAGAATGCTAGATGACAACCTGGACCCCACTCCCCTCCTAAAGGAGATCCGTGACGACAAAGTAGCCACCATCATCATCGACGCCAATGCTTCTGTCTCTTATCTCATCCTCAAGAAGGTCAGGTCTACAAAACATCAATATCCTCCTCAGAACCACCCACACATACTTGTATTTAAAGTTGATCTTGTACTCTTGTACCAAGCAGTTTGACTCATGGGGTTTTTGTTTATTTTTATTATGCAGTTAAAATTTTCAGTTTACTCTGATAAACAGCATGCAGCGCTTTCAATTTGTAAAACAACTATTTCAAAGGTCCTCAGGCAACATCGGTGCTGTTACAGGATTAACTTCTATTTTAAACTTTTCCTCCCTGTGGAGCTGCATGTCAATCAGCTACACTCATCTGAAAGTTTTGGACAAAAGAACATTGCCTTTTTTTAATACAAAAAAGCTCTTTTTGTTGGGATGCAGTGAAGATGTTAACCCGAGTTTGCTCTGATTCATCCTAATGCCGATAGCCAGAGCAGTGAGTCACGGTTTGAATGGGATGTTTTCTCCTGGAGTGCTTGTCCGCCCTCAGCAAAATGTACTAGTGTTAGGCTGATGATGTAAAACTGTGATTAACGTATGCTTCCTCTTCTTTGGTCACATCCTCTGTACTTTGTCCTTGTTCCCTGCCTTCCCTATTAAGTACCCCCCTTTTTCCACCTTACTCTTGTCATCTGTCTTCTTTTCTCTTTTCCTATTCTGTCTTTTCACATTAATACATCACCTGCTGATTCTTTATTTTTTCATCTTGTTCTTTCTCTTTGTTCTACAGGCCTCAGAGCTGGGGATGACATCAGCATTTTATAAGTACATCCTCACCACCATGGTAAGAACATGCTGATTCTTCCACCTCCTATCCTTCGTCTCATGCTTCATCATTTTCCCTTGTTCCTCCTTCCATCCATTCTGCTCCTCCTCCTCTTCTGTCTGAGCCCAAGCGAGCAGAGGTGCTAAGGCGGAGAAAGAGTTCAATAAGGGGAGGTAGGGAGAGGTGACAGAAGAGGAAAAAAAGGAAGATGAGATGAAAGATGAAAAAAAGAGAGGAAGAGATCTGAGGAGCAAACATGCTGTTCAAAGATGCGGAGGTGTAGGGGAGGTGGGCAAAGAAAGAAAAGAAAAAGGGGTCTGAGGTGAAGGTAATGACAGATGAGATGTGCTTGGTTTTTATTTTCTTCCCTCCACCACCCGCCACCTTCTTCACGCTCCTGGGCTTTTCATCTGCCTCCTTGATATACTTCCATCCCTTTTAGCATTTGAATTATTGTGTCATTTTGTCTGATTTTTATTTTTTCTTCCTTTATGCAGTTTGTACTTGATGTGTTCTTGTGCCTTGGATGCACTTGCATGCATATCACTTTGAGAAGATCCTTGAGCATTCTCCATCAAGCCTTATCCACCTCTGTCACCTTTCCCTCCTTTATCTGCAACTAACTATATTATTTTTCCTCTCAAATATCAGATGTTGTCACTCTCAAGTTTGCATTTCTTTCTTTTTGCATTCCTCCCTGCACTACGATTTTCTGTCATGCAGATATTTGATATACTGTGTCCTGACTTTAACAATCACAGACTTCAGTGTATTTTTTTTATTTTATGTGATACACCTGCACAATGTAATACGAAATTTTAAAATAGAAAGAGATGGATAAAAAAAAATCCTTAATGAGTCGTGTGTGCATACAGTATGTAACCATTCAACTCTCTATTCTCTGATACCCTCAAATAAGATCAAGCACAGCCATGATGTAAAGAAGTTTAAAGCCAAATTAGGTTATAAAACATTTCTGGCTTTAAACCTCTCATGAATTAAAGTTCAGTGCGTCATTTAAAAGTGGAAAGCATATTGTACCATTAGAAACTAATGAAAATCATGGCTCTCCATCTATGTGCCTAGGTGAGGAAAGTAGATAATCATAAATGCAGTCATGGGGCCAATGGCTTCTTTTTAGGTGCGCAAGAGGTCCACAGCTTAGGTGGGAGAATCTGTCGACGGGGCTACTTAGGTCATGCACAATGCAAAGCTGGATTTACTGAGGCAAGAAAAAAAAAATCTGGTTTTCAAATAAAGCAAAAGGAAGTCATGCTGGCAGTTTGCCCCAAGCCATACAGTGGATGCAAATACAGAAAAGGTGCTGTGCTTAGATGAGATACTAATTGATAATTTTGGCTTACATGCAAAACTTCACATGTAGGTCAACCAATGCAGTAGTTAAACATAGCGACAGCAGATCATGCTGTAAGGATCTTTTTCTTCAACAGGGACAATGGAGATACTCAGGGATTATGAGAATAGGAATGTAACTAAACGTGTGGCAAAAAACAGCTAGTTGTTGCAAAGGACATGAGTCGAGTAGGTTTACCATCTATAATCACTCAAGACATAAAATTAGAGCCTCCAAAGCATTTTTCACATCAAAGCATACTTTTGGGTTGGAATCAGTCCACCTCAGCCAAGACCCAAGTTTATTTTATTAATATGTGGCGAGACATAAAAATAATTTATGTAAACAGAATCACTCCAAGAGCTTTAATTGTTCCAATTTAGGAATTATGAATGAATTAAGAACTATTTTGTTTTGGTCTATTAATAAATTACCATTAAAACGCAATGAATGATATGGCTGTAAAGGGAAAACAGGTGGAAGGAAACACTGTTTGAACACTTTTGCATTTAACTGTATCACCAACCTTCCCTCTCACCTGAATGTCCTCTCTCTTTCACTGTTGCTTCTCCAGGACTTCCCCCTTCTGAGGCTGGATGATATCGTGGATGAACATTCCAACATTTTGGGTTTCTCTATGTTTAACACCACACATCCATTCTATTTGGAGTTCATCAGGAGCCTGAATCTTTCATGGAGGGAGGGCTGTGATTTGACGTACCCTGGCCCTGCGGTTAGTGTCTCAAACCAGCAAGGACTTGAGAATACAAATGCTTTGTACTATTTATAAAGCTTTGTTTGTTTGCCACGTAATATTAAGCTGCTCAGTCCCTGCTGATGATTCATGAACCATTTAAAGAGATTTAGCTGCTCCTTTGGTTGTATTTAATAGCTATTGATGTACTGTATCCATCTCTCTTTCCTTTATTTACTCATTTCCAATGTCTTTTTTTTCTCCTCTCTTCCTTCATCCTTGTTATCCTTTCAATCATTAATGTTAGCGCCTCCCTCCTCATTACATCCTCTGCCATGTCTCATTTCCCGTTCTTCCCGTGTTTCCATCCATCCTGCCCTTACTGCCTCCCTCCCTTTGTCTCCTATTCTCTCTCCACAGCTCTCTTCAGCGCTGATGTTTGATGCCGTACATGTGGTTGTGGGGGCAGTCAGGGAATTGAACCGCAGTCAGGAAATTGGAGTAAAGCCCCTGAGCTGCACCTCGCCTCAGATCTGGCAACACGGGACCAGTCTCATGAATTATCTGCGCATGGTAAATGCCTCCCAAATCTTTCACTTAAACATTGCATTGACATATATTATAAAACGCATCCCAGCTATCTTGCAAAAATTTGTAACTGACCAAAACATGTCTAATCAGGCAAAAATCAGTTTGACACTTTATTCCTGATTGTTTTATGATTATGTTTTATTCATTTTCAAATAAAAGAAACTGGACTCATAAGATCTACATTGGTTACTAGGGTTAAACTTGGGAAAACGTTTGGTAATTATTCAGCATTTTTTTATGCAAAATGACAATATCTAATTCATCCATCCATCTATCGATCCATCCATCCATCCATCCATCCATCCATCCATCCATCCATCCATCCTCATTACAGTAGAGATATGCTTCACAAATTTATAAGGAACTTTCATATTCGGTCTTCATAAAAGTATTTAATCCAACATGAAAAAACAACTACTTAGAAACCCAAAAGTTTATCTAAATATCAGAATAATTTTTGTTTTTTTCCCCTATTCCTCCAGTCCTTCCTAAAAGAAAAAAATGTCACCCATACTTAGCAAGGTGTTGGCCTTGTGGTTAGTGCATTGTGCTTGTGCTCTGAGAATGTTGCAAGTACCCGGTTTGATCCCAACAGCCTGCAATCTGGGTCCCTGAGCAAGACCCTTAACCCCAAGAGATGAATTTCTCCAGTTTGAGATCAATAAAGTTAAATTCAAATTTAAATGTGTCGCTTAAACATAAGTACAAGGATCATGATTAACAGCTGGGGGTGATGAGCTTTTTATTACACCCCCTACTGATTGCACACAGAATGTTTCTTCCTATTATCTACAGTACATCCGTCCAAAATGTTCAAGGCACCTTTTTAGGCTTGTGGAGCTGCTTTTTTAGTTGTGAAAATGCAAGAGGCGTTGACTTTATATTACTTGTGTCTAAATTGCTGTTTTTGTGCGCTTCTTACTATACAATAGAACAGCACACCATCACTTCAGTGTCAGCTAAATGCTAGTGAAGGTCTTTTACATTGTAACAGGGTTTTGATTTACCCACCTGGCAATCCTTCAAGCAGCTCTGCTGGAAACTTTTCCTTCTTTTCAGAATAATGCTTTCTTTTGTAGCTGACATTTAGTAATTCTACGGCAAAGCAGAAAAGTGCTTATGTTTGAATGGTATTTTTTCACCTTCTTTGTCTGATTTTTTTGGCATTACGTCCTTTTTTTTTTTTTTTAGCCTGTCAGACTGACAAATGGTGCTTAAGAGGCTGATAGCGGAGATAAGGTTTGAAGGGTCACAAAATGCAGAAGTGATTTTTGACTCTTCAGGTTTTCTACTGTGGTTATGTTCTATTTAATAATCATAATGAAAAAATGTGATTATAATTTCATATCTAAATTTATGACATAAACATGCAAAAAGCATTACTAACTTTAATCTTGTTATAATTTCATTATCAAATCAAAAACTTTTGCAAACAGATGTATCAAGGGATAAAATGTTTGCATTTCATAACACCATTTAAGATTTTTCTTTCTTTAAACATGTAGGTATATTTTAACCTGGAGAGACTCACACAGAGAAAAGGTGGAATTAGAAAGATTTTATTGACATGAATAAAAACAAGTTCTTTGGCACTCAGCCCCCTGCAGAAGACCTTATGCTGCAAGTCATCAGGAGCCTGTATGAATAACTTAGGAAGAGGATTAGACACTGGTGGTGGAAAAAGCCAGAGTGGACTATGAGAGATAGGTTGGAGGTGGGTCAAACGTTGACTAAAGAGGTGCATGGAGAAGCTGGACCTACTTCTTGATGAAAGCATCTTGAGAAACGATTGGCCTCTTGGCTTAGGTGTGATCTGTCTTTGATTAGCTGTAGCTTGAGCGAGGGACGTCGGCAGGTATTTCGGGTTAAGCTGATTAGGAGCCTGATTCATATAAAAAATATGATGCTTCTTTATCAAGCTCCTGTCAAATAAAAATAGGTTTGCTACTTACAGTTGTTTTTGTTATTTATTTAGCTGCTGCTCATTTTCTAATGATCAATAAAATATTAGAAAGAATGCTTTTGTTTCCTAAAGCCTAAGGTGATGGGGACATTAAAGTAATTACTCCATTGTGTAGCTGAAAATCTATCAAACAGTTCCTGAAATATGTTTTTTTTTAGAATAGAGTCAAACTAGATCCCTTAATGCTTTGGTCATTGTTTAGAAACATACTCTGCTTGTACGTATATACAGAGAGGCAACTGTTGCTAATAACTGGGAGACATTTCAGGGTTGTTGTTGGACTGGATCTCATTTTTAAGTACGGGCAAAATAAAAAGCATGTATACTGTTTTAAATATGATTACTATATTAAGAGAAGAACCTAGTGTGTTGAATTAACTTCATCAAAGGTTTTGGTTATCAAATGTAAGAACAATTTTTAAGAATACAAATAGTTCTCCAAAATGCAAAAATCCAGACATTTAAATTCAATCTTTGTTAAAAAAAGAAAAAAGAAAAAAGAAGTTTAAATATTTCATATATGAGAACAAATAATCGGATCTACATTTATATAAAAGATCTAGTTTGAATCTCATATAAACAACATTAGATCAGCTTTACCCCACTTGACGCGATTAACTCAAGAGAGAGAAAAGTCCTCTTCTATTAAATCAAAATCCAAATCTTTGGTCAGTTCATATTTTTAAGCCTATTGATAAATAAAAGCATAAATGTTCACCATGTGTATCATCAGCATCTCATCTAGCGTGTAACCTCTGTCTGTTGATGTTTTTTGTCATCTCCCTTCTTTGGTCGTCTGCTTCCTTCATCAACGACCTGTTGTCAAGGCAGCCTGTGTCCCATCTCTCATTGCCTGCGGCCCATCTGCCCGACATCTGTCTTTGTTAGTCAACATCATGGTGCGCTCCATCTCCAGTGCTCTGCTATTCATCATAGTTCCTTCAAACTGTGCCAGCACCTGGGCTGTGGAGCGGCCAAGCTGAGGTGGAACGTGTAGGTCTGGGTCTTATTAAAAAGGCTGTTGACTTTCTCTTCTGCCCTCTCTGAGCCTCTCGATCAGTCACTTTCTCCTAGTTGATCCAGAAATGATCATTACTGCCGAGGCCAGATTTGGCCATTTTCTCACACTTATTCTCTCTCTATCATTATCTTTAACCTTGTGTGTCTTGCTTTCTTGTTTTTTGGCTCTCAGTTCCTCTAGAGACTGTTGTTTTTAGCTGTCTAATTATGATCGATTATGAAAGGCACTGTTGTTTTCATGCAGAGCACTGATTATATTAGGGTGCATTTTTCCTAATTTCCTTTTTTGCTATTCTGCTACTGTCATACTTCCTCATATCCTTCTCCATCTGCCTACCAGGTGGAGTACGATGGCCTGACGGGGCGAGTGGAGTTCAACAGCAAAGGTCAGAGAACCAACTACACCCTGCGGATCCTGGAGAAATACAGAGGAGGCCACAAAGAGGTCAGGAGCCACCTGTTATGATATAGCGGCCAGGTTACAGCAGCTTTAGGATTAGGCTTAGTTACAGGTCACCTGGATGTTTCTGGAGAGCCAATGCAGGCATTTTACAGGGAGGTTTGTGTCAGCATAAGTTTCCCCTGATTTTACCTGTATCTCTGCATTATTAAATGCATGTGTGCTTAACTAGAAAATGTGTTTATCTACAGAAGAAGACATATTAAAAACCAAGTGCAATAGCATGTTTAGCAGTTAGATGCTGTTTATATTGTTCCTCATTTCTCTGAATCATTTGTGCAGACCTGGTTACATGTCTGGATGTATTTATATCTCCCTCTAACTTCAATTTATTGTCAGTTAAAACTACATTATTATCTATTTAAAACTATGGATACAGAAAAATCTTGTTTCTTGTTCTGGACACAGTATTAAATATGTGCTCACCCTTTAAACAGTCCTTTTGAACACTCTATCTTGTGCATAAAAAATGGCTGGAGGCTTGCAGCAGAATTGATCGATATTGATTTTTTAAAAACTCTTTTGTCTTTAAATAAAAAGTGCAAAACACAAGGCCTGGGGCTGGCCCACCATAGCAATGTATCCTGCTCTCAAGTGCCAAAAAAGCCATATCATGCCATAAAGTAGAGGCATACAGTCTTTTTAAGGTGTACACAGAGGGTAAAACTGCTAAATAAATGGGTGGGATGGTACCAGAGCACCATGCTCTTTGTAAATGAAATTATTAAATTAAAAGTTTCTTTTACAGCTACCACTGGCCTTTTTAAAGACTTAAAAATGCTGAAGTGGCCTGATAAAATAATTAGTTCGACACTTCCAACCTACAGCAGAGCTGGGATGTTTCTTTGGAGCAGCAAAGAGTAGAATAAAGTGGCATGTCATTTGAGAATTATCTCGGTATGCAACAGAGACAATTCTGTGCTAAACAAACAAAATTCAATAAGTATAAATAAATAAATACATTATTTAAATAGCAGCTATTGATTCTTTATATCTTAATAGCAATAAAATACCCAGTTCTTGACAAACAGTTTCATTTCTTACCAGTCATGTTTTACATTGTTTTACATTCTTTTGGTGTTGCATTAAAAGATTGCATAATACATTTCACTATGGAAGTGAAATATGAAGAATAGCTTTGTTGTTGAATCTGTGAGTAGCTAAAGTGGCAACAGTCTTCACATTTTACTTGCTCTCGATCTTTTGCACATTACAACCAAATTTTATATCGCTGGATTTTTATGTGGAACACAAACAGGAAGTAGAGCATTCTAAGTATGACTTTGGTATGCATTTTTTTTGTGCCAGTAATTGGCACAGTTACTGGCACAATTACAGCTGCAAGCTTTTTGGGTGTGCCTCAGGTTTTCAACGGGAACATGTTTAACACAGCGTAGAACTAACCCTACATTTGCAGTCTAAGATTTTACATTTTTTGAGGTGGACATTGAAAAGTGTTCTATGAAATATTTAATGCTTGGGAAATAGTTTCATAACCTAACGCTGCTTTAAATCTCTCCCCCACTTTATCCCTGACCTGATCTCCTGTATTATTTGTTGTCTAACATATCCTAACAAACCTCTAAGGCCTTAACAAAACAGCTGTATATATGCTGAGATTAAACTGCACACAGGCCAACTCTATTTATGCACAGGGGGCACCGGCTATTATGTTGCTGCTGACCTGGAGTTCTCACCTCGCTTCTTCCTGTACTTTTAATCTGTTGAATTTATTGTTTTTATATCCTTCATGAATGTGAGAAGAATGACCTTACAACATTCATGTTCCAGCCGTAAATTATTTAAATCACGTTGATTTAATTCATATCACATATATATATTTTTTTAATCTTTTCTCATTCAAGTCATATTTGGCTAAGTTGTTTAGTTAATTCTGGAAACATATGAGATTAAAACAGATGAAAATTGTTTTCTATTTTCATGCTGTTTGCAAAAACCTAAAGTGATTTTCCAATGGGCTTTGAAAAGCAGTTATTCAGAAAGGCAATCAGTTCCCACGGGTTGTTATTTAGGGGTATCAGAGGAAAAGGGCCTGAATAGAAATGCTCAACATATTTTAAAGATCTGTATTTGTAAGACACTAAAAGAAACATGTCTCAAATGGTTCTTTTATTTTATATGTAATACCCACTGCATGCTATTAGATATTACATAAAATGCTAAACAAATCCATCTCAGAATATAGGCCAAAAAGCTAAAAAAGGCAGTATATAAGTGAGCACATAACATCGTAAAAAAGTTTCTTAATTTATTGAATGATTGTAAAAAACAAAACAAAAAAAAATAAATAAATAAATAAATAAATCCAGTGAACCAACCTAATGTTTCTTTTTTGTATTTCTGTTTTTTTTTTTTTGGGCTATATGTGGGCTCTTTTATCCTTTATATATAAATAGGGAGAGATTAAACATTAAAACTACGTTTAAAGAAAGGAGATAAAGCTCCTTGTCTGGAGGAAACGCTTCCTCCTACTTTATCCTTAGTATATTATCCAGATCTCTCCTGTGTCTCCTATACATACACCAAAAAATAAATCTTCATACTTCTTGCTAAAATCTAAAAAGCTAAAAAAAAAATTGGCTGCAGTAATTAACATTTTAACTTTACCCATCTCTTTTGTATGGTGACATCCACTTGAGGCAGGCAGAAGCAGTTAAAAAAGTGGCTCTCTTAAATGTCAGGTCAGGATTAAAAAGAAGCTGTAATAGAAATGCTGTGATTTTGTCAGTGGAGCCATTACCTGTCTTCTGACCCGCTGAAACATGTACAGTAATATTCTGAAGAAATTGCTCTGGAAGCTGCGGATCTAGTCTGGATGTTGGTTAAGTCATAATCACACACTTATGCACCTAAGTGACTTTACTGTCTCCATAAAATGGAAATAAATGGTCTATTATGCAATTCAAGAAATGTGTAAGTAAAGAAAAGAGATGTGGCAATAAAACAGCTAATCATGAATGCTTCTTATTACCATCTATGCCAGTTTGTTGCCAGCTTGTTGCTTTGCTTGTAAATAGCAATTGGTTTATAATAGTGCACATTACAGCACTTTTTGGTTCCTGTGGGAACTATTATATCAACATAGATATACAGCTGGTTACAGACTCTAAAGAAAAAATAAAGTAATGAATGTTGTTTGCAGTTTAAAATAGACTTTAATGATGGATGTGCTGACTGATATACTTGAGCTCTTAGTCTGCCATGATATGAAACCAGTGCAATGGAGCTTAAGAGCACATTATTTATTCCACAATAGTTATTGATTTTTTCTTGCTCTGTATTCTGTGTTAGATTGGGATCTGGTACTCCAACAACACTTTGGCGATGAACTCCACTAGTTTGGACATTAATGTCTCAGAGACGCTGGCGAACAAGACCCTCATTGTCACCACCATTCTGGTAAGGTCACAACTACCTCGCTAGTGTCCACACTGGCAAGTACCAAGCTGTTTTTGTGCTTGCCTGCTGCGCTGGAGCTCACGCTGTGCTTGGGTCTGTTTCTTCAAATTTAACCGTGGCTGTTGCTGTCATAGAAACTGACATAGCACTGAGAAGGACGTGTTACTAAATGACCAGAGTGCTAGTCTTTTTAAGTGTCCTTCTGTCATTTTTTTATGTTAAATGACATGTTATATATTTTCATCTTTATAATAAAACTGTGCTTCATTTTAAAAGGTTTAAATTAAAGCCAAAATGCTTTTTCTCACATTTTGATCTCTACATATTGAAATGTTCATTTTTTTAACATGTGGTTTCTGTTTCTTGTAAGCGAAGGAGCAATATAGACAGAAAATATATCTTGCTAAAACAACTGAAACATATACAGAGTGAACTAAAAGTGCCCTGTGACAAGACAACTTTGATCTCTATTGCTGAAAAATCTAAAACATTCACTTCTATTGCACTTAACTGCATTTCATAAAAGAGATTTGAGCACAAAAGTTTGTGCAAATGCCCCAGCTGGCCCTTTGCATTTTGCATGTAGGCCAAACTATATCTAAAGACAATGAAATGGTTTCTGAATTGTTTTCTGCTCTTCCTCTTATATGCATGGTCTCCTATGTCTTTTATTGACTTTTTCTGTACACTTAATTTAATCATTTTCCTACAGTTAACATGCGAGTCTGGGGTTTTGCACATTGAGCAAACAAATGTATCCCATAGAGATGAGATGTGTGTTAGGGCATGTTTTTCTCACCCACTCTTGTTCTGCCAAGCCTAAATTTTGCCGATGACACCATCATTATCGTTTTGTGTATACGATGCTGATGAATTTTAAAAAGAAGAGATCAGAAGCCTGGATTCTGGACAACAATGAAGTTCTAAGTCTTAGCAAGTTGAATGAACTCATTGTGAACTACAGGAGACTGAACAAGGAGGGCATGCCTAGGATACTGGGTTAATTATGAATGAGAGTTTGAGATGCTCTTAACAGAAATATACTGAAAATAAACAAAACGGAGGCCCCTGTTTGTGCATTGTCTGAGTAGCTTGAGTATGGATTAGTAATCAACTATTATAGGTTTTTCAAGGCTAAAGCTGATTATTTTGAAACCGAACCATCCATAGAATTTTCTTATTGAGGATTCTTCAAACCAGACTTCCTTTTCCATGCTCCATTTAAATGATAAAACTGACATAATATAATGTTATACAAGTGTAAGTTCAGTTTGAATTCACCTAAAATGACCGTTACATGAACACAAATGACCTTTCTTTACCAATACTGCAGCCCACCCACCCTAACTACAGTTTACTGTAGAGAACTGATCGTCTTACCATGGTTAGACTTTTTTTCCCCTATCATAAGGTGGTCAAATTTTAATAGAAAAAAAAAGAATTTCAATAATGCTTTCTATTGAAGTTTAGGAATTGTTCCTTTGTCTGAGACTTTGTTGCCATAATTAATGAAAGTCAGCCCCACCATGTCAGGAAAATGAATGCTTATTCATCACCGGTTTTATTGTTATTTCACACTAGCGTGCTGCACTTAGATTTCATACATAAAGACTTTGTCATTTCTTTTTTCATTTAAATCACTTGGTAGGCTAACACTTTATCAATCAACAGATTACAGATTCAGGTTTCTGGGACTGAACCTTTTTCTCGTGAACCGTGATGCATTTATTTCCCAGCTGCACCACTTTTGACATAAAGCGAACATTCACTGTGATAGCCAAGCTGTTAGCGAAGTTTATCTGCATCAGTTTTATTCACTGGACAGACTGTAGTCTTTTTTTAAGCTGTCAAGGTTTTTTCTCCTATAACCTGCTTCTGGAGCCATCTCCGGGTATCGAATTTTGTCTATTGAAGCAATTTTCAGTTGGACTTCTATAGCGGTGAGAGTCACACAGGGGGCAGATAAAAATGTTCTACAATGTACTGACTCTGCTGAGGCTCAGGCGCGCTGACTTTTAGCTAACAGAGGTCAAACTGGAAAAATGTCTCATGAACATCCCTTAATGCATTTACAGATATATATTTTCCTCCTGACAAACCTTTCAAAATTATTTTTAGCTGATAAAAGACCTAAAATGGAGGTTTGCTGTTAAAAGTATGTTCCCCCTTTTGAGTTAATTCTGTTTTTGCTTTTTTGTCAGTCTCACATTTTTCTAGATCATCACGATACCTTTTAAACAAAGTAATAATATTTGTAAATACATAGGAGTGCTGCAATGAAGGAAAAGGCTACACAAACCACCCTGTCCCTCAGACAGCCAACACCTTTTTATTCAAGACGAGTGGTTAATGGCTGGAAAGTTGCATCAATTCTAACAGCAACACCTTAACCTGATTTCTACCTTTCTTGTTGGCCTTTCAAGTTACTAAGAAAGTACACAGCATGAAGTATGCTAAACAATCTAAAAAGCAAAACATCCTGCGGTGATCTAAGAAACATAAGAAAACGTGAGAAACAAAGTCATTGACGTCTATCAGTCAGTCAATGATAGATGTCTATCAGACATCTATCAGAGACGCTGACAAAGTGGTGTTCTTAAGATTCCAACAAACCGCAGGGAGATTTATTTTCCAAAAGTAGAGAAATCATTGAACAAGAGGGAATTTTCCCATGAGCATTTAGGTTATCAAAGCTACTCTAGAGACACATACAGATCTCATCTAAGGGCCAAAATAGAACCCAGTGGAACAGCTAAAGCACTGCGGATGTCAACTAAATCACTCAGTGGCTGTGATTCCGCAATAGAGAGAATAAAAACAGTGCATCTTTAGAGAATTCCAAAAGCAATCAAAGTTCTGTTTTATATTTGCCGCAAATTAAATGATGACCACAGAGAGAATAACTTTGTGGTCTGGGATAAAAAAAAAAAAAACATTTGGAGAGGTTTGCATCATGTTATATTCAGCATAAAGGAGCGATTTAGACAAAAAGCTCCATACTGACAGTCACAGTACTGTAGGTATAGTGTGGTGGTCTGGAGATGGAACAGTATCTGTTATTAATGCGACCATAAAATCTCCTCTCTACAAAAGAACCTAATCCCAATGTCAAGATATAATCTTAAACTTTAAAATTAAAACACCCAGGACAACCATCAATGCACACAAGTACATTGACCTCTTAATGTAAAAAGAACCATATAAAGGGTTTTTTATTAGGCAAAACATAATCTATATTCTGATATGGCAGGTCTTTGAATAATACGTTTATGCCAGATACAAATTCTGAAGTACCTGAGAGAAAAATGGCAAAATCAAGGATTCCCAATTAGTTTTTATGGGGGCTGGCTTTGTTAGATTTTCCCCTCAGCAATGAAATAATTGTTTGATAGTCTGCTTTTTGAGTTGATTTCTTTTTCATTAAGAGGTTACAGAATATAAAATAAACAACGTAATTATCTAACACATCTAAGAGTGACAGTAAGATCTGAAGAGATGATTAAGAGGAAACACAATTTTTGAAAATTCCTAATTTTTAAGAAGATAGTAAGATATTGTAAAACAGCATTTAAATTTCTCCAGCTAATTTCAAGCAAATAGAAGGCTTATCAGAGCACAGGGGCCACACTACCTACAGTATGTGCTGAACAAGTTCATGAGGGAAAGTTTCAACTTCTGAGATTAATGGTTTTTCTTTTTTTTAATTAGCTCTGAAACTCTTTCCAAGAAAACAAAAGCAATATTATTAAGCAATTAACTGATTCTAGGCAATATTAGACGAACAAACGAAGACTCTGCTTGCTTTAGACTGAAATTCCTAATGTATTCACTCTTCATGTATATCCCTCCACAGGAAAATCCATACGTGATGCGCAAAGACAATTACCAGGATTTTGTTGGGAACGATCAGTACGAGGGTTTCTGTGTTGACATGCTGAGGGAGCTGGCAGATATCTTGAAATTCTCTTTCAAGATCAAGCTGGTGGATGATGGGCTGTATGGGGCCCCAGAGCCCAATGGCTCTTGGACCGGCATGGTTGGAGAATTGATTAACAGGGTGAGTACCATGCAGAATATACAACAATCAGCAATAATAACCAGAAATATGTGACAAACACACAGCAACACATTCACAAAGCCACATACTTGCACACACATTTGTGCTGTAGCCCCAAACCACAGTTCTGCTGTAACTTCCCATGTCTCAAATTGCCCTCAGAGGGGAGTAACACTCTTATCTAGGACAAAAGCTGAATTGATAATTCCCCAGAAGACACTGGAAAAATTGCTTAATATTGCCTGCTCTGTGTTTCCAAGCAGTAAACCACTACCAGCCACTTTATTTTGCATATATAAAAATATCTAAATTTTTCCACTCCACCTGTCCAGGCCTATTGAGCCTGTGACTGACACTGGTTGAAGTAGGCTAATGAGAGCCCCTCTCTGTTTAATTACCATACGGTATACTTCAATTACTGAGCCATGGTCCCTGTGTGGGGTCTGCCACAGCGGAGCTCCCCCAGCTCTCCATGCTTCCTCTCACTCCCCGCCCTCTTCATAGCACGATCACTCGGCTCTAATTAGTAGCCCATGTTCATCAATTAGCTTTTAATGGAAGAGATGGAGGGGAGGCAGACCGACTGGAGACCAGCAGGTTTTTATGCAGGTGGAAAGACCGGGCACCTCGTGTTTACTTTCAATTAGTTTAATTTGGATCATGGAGAAATGGCACAGGCATGCATGAGTCAAACGTGCACGTCTGAATATTTAATCTAAGGTGGTGCACTAAACTTTTCATGTCCCTTAAAGGCTGTGACCTGCAAACGTATTTTTGCACCTTGCACCCTTTCACATTTTTGGTGCATTACAGCACATACTTTGTACAGAGGAAAAATTATAAAAAAAATATAAAAATTGCACACATAATAATCTAAACCTTATGTGGTGAACTTGTCTTTACCTTCTCATTTGTATTCATCTCTGAACTCCAATGAGAAGTCTGGTAAACTTCTAAAATCTTATTTTTTTCTTATTTAATCTCCTATTATATCCTTTTATCCAATTATGTCCTCCAGGGTTTTTCAGGATTCTGCTGTATTCGGCTCCATCCATCTTCCTATAAACCTTTGTACCTTTTGAAGGAAGGTTTCCCTCAGCATGATTCTCCCGACAGTGTATTGCATAGAAGAAGTTTATTCAGAGAAGCGGCAGCTTTAATTATCCACTATACTTATGTTTTTTTATGCAGACAAAAAGGTTTTCATTATTGTCTCATCTGAAAAGAGTGCCTTTTCTAGCAAGTCTTCCTAGAGCAGCTTTTTTATATTGAGATAAAATTCACATTGACTCTCAAGTAGACTTCTGAGAGATATTTATTCCACTCATATTTATGGTGTATTAAATGTTGCAGAGTACAAATGCATAGCATCCTAAAAGTTAAAAAGTAAAAACGAAAAAGGCATTTATTATTTTCCCTCCATGTAATAAATATTCATCACAGGTTTCTACCAAAATCCCAATCAAATACTGAGAAGCATGAAACTGTTACATGGTAAAATGCAAGAAAATCTCAAGTGGTATGCATATATTTGCAAAGCTTAGGTGTTGTCATTTTTTTTTTCAACTGACCAATTTCTGTCCTTCTTTTCTCCTTCTCTGCTTCTACTTCCTGCGCACCCCTGCTGCTTTCTACCTATCTATCTGTGTCAATCCTCCAGAAAGCAGACCTTGCTGTAGCTGGCTTCACAATCACATCAGAGAGAGAGAAAGTTATTGACTTCTCTAAGCCGTTCATGACCCTTGGGATCAGCATCTTGTACCGAGTTCAACTGGTGAGGCTGTTATCGCAGGCTGTTGGGCACCTGCTGGCTGATACTTCAGATCTTCTACTGGATTAGATTTTTTTTGAAGCCCACATATTGATGCTCAATCTTGTTGAGATGAGTTAAACTGTGCATTACTTAATAGCTAAACCCTTTGATGTTATTAGTGTAAGTCCTCAATGAACTTTATAGTGAGAATTTATTTTTGCTCAGTTAGTCAGAGCTGTGTAACACTAGCAGCTTTACATTGCTAATGAGGTTTTGGGTCCATGCCAGACATGGTCTGGCAGAAAGCATTGTTAAACAGCTTTTATGGATCCAAGCGTTAGAGTATCAAAGCACTGCAGACGCTTTATTATTGTGCAAGTGAAGACACTGCCCCCCTGTGGTGTGACTTCTGTCTCTCTATCTGTCCCTGTCTGTCCCAATTTTCTCATCTATCTTTGTCTTTTCCTCTTCTTTTTGCACTTTTTTTCAGGGTCGGAAGCCAGGTTACTTCTCCTTCTTGGACCCTTTCTCTCCTGCTGTCTGGCTCTTCATGTTACTCGCCTACCTGGCTGTCAGTTGTGTGCTCTTCCTGGCAGCAAGGTCAGTCCATTACATCACACACTGCGCTGATTGTCTGCAGCTCACATCTGAGCTCTCTTCCCATTTATATTGTTAAACACAAGCGACCTGTCATACATCATTTTTTTCAATGGACCCGTCATCCCCTCATACAGCTTGACAGGGTTTCTATGACTGATTGGCTTGTATAAATGACAGAGGTGCATCACCACGTTAGAGTTTGTCCTCAAGGTTGCTTTTGTGTATTCCTCGTTTCTCGTCAGGTTAAGCCCCTATGAGTGGTACAACCCTCACCCATGTCTGCGGGAGCGCAGGGACATGCTGGAGAACCAGTACACACTGGGAAACAGTCTATGGTTCCCTGTTGGTGGCTTCATGCAGCAGGGATCAGAGATAATGCCCCGAGCATTGTCCACCAGATGCGTCAGCGGTGTTTGGTAAGTCAGAGAGGAGTTAAGCTGTTCATATGCCTGGCAGTTAAACGCCTCTCATCCTTATAGAAATGTGTTTTACATTATCTGGTATTTTCAAGGTTTGGCCTTGACAAAAAAATAAGTCGTTTGTGCAGACAGAAAAGGCTGCCTTTAGTTTTCCCATTGCACATCGGAAAATTAGTTTGAAGACATGCAGAGTTTGTGATACAACTGAGCATGGAAACTAATGAGCGAGAAAGAATCAGAAAACTGAACCACTTTATGATTCTAACAGCTTCTCTAGAAGCCAGCTGAGCTTAGTTTTTATTCTTCTCAACACTAATTGAAAAGGCTTCACTATGTTAAAAGTTGTGGGAAGAGAGATACAACACTTACTCGTATCCTTTTTCTTTCAAAGAGCCTCTTTTTTGCATTTTTATTAGATGTTTTAGATAAAAAATGTAGACTTTGGATTTAGGGTAAATAACTGACACAGGTTTATTTTCCTGTGTGTCAAGATTTAATGCAAACAATGAACAAATACAAATCTAATAAAAGTTTGAACTTAATGATGCTCCTGGGGTTAACTCTGACAGACAGGTGCTAAGAGAAATAAGTTCTACAGATAGAGATAAAAAGAATACGAGGACGGGGACAGCAGATCACACACAGTTAAGTGAGATAGGGATAATAAAGAACGTTATGGTACATGACATTAATTTAGAATTAAGTTAAGCTGGTAGGTAAGAAAGGACACTGAATTTATTCAAGGATATGACATACAGTATTACACAACACTTTAAACAAGTATCTAAGACTCTAAAGTGTTTTTTTTTTTTTTAAACAGATTTTAACTATTTTAAATATCTAAATTTAAAGTATATCTCATCTGTTTTTTTGTTCACTAGTTTTTGGTTTACTAGTATTCATTTAGTCTGTGAAAAGCCTTTGTCCGGAAAATTTCCTTTATCATCGAATGTAATCTATATTAATAAGAAGTCTTTTTCTTTGCCTTCAGACAGATTCACTGAAGTAACCGAGATTATTAATCCATAGGTTTTGATATGACTTTGGTGGACCTTTGCAGCTGAATGTAAATATATCTTTAAGGACCTTCTTTTGAAACTAAATGCACAGTCTCAATGAATAAGGAAGGGGGGATACCCAAGATGTTTCCATAAAGCTGCAACTTTAAAATGTCCAGGACTGTTCAAGCAATGAGAGTTTATTTCACTGAAATTGCTGGTTGTAAGACTCGTAAGCATAGTGATGTAGATTAACAGACGCGATATGAGAGAAGTGAAGAAGATTATTATTATAATTTGAACTCATGAAGTTCGGTTTAAAGTCACTGAGGATTTGCCTGTAAACGCTGTTCTGCAATAAAATCACCTGACAGCTCACTGACAGTTGTGAGCTCTTCACACCACATTTTGTACAATGTTCTGTGTAGTTGAGTGAACATGCAGCACTTTGCTTTAGAGTCTTACTCTTGTTATGTCATTGACAAGACATTTTATATTATGGTAATTACCAAAGGTACAATCACCTTGAAAAATGACCTGAATAAACATTGGAAGTTAGAATTTACCCATATTAAAGTTTGTAATTTACTGATTAGCAAAATGTTCATTAATGACAGGTGTGTTGTTACAGAGGATAATAACATGAAGTAATTAAAAATAAACATGCTGTGATTGATTCAACTTTTCGGGTTGTTGGTTTCAGACTGCTTAATAAAACTGTAAAAAAGGTCCATGAAAATTAGTTTATAATGGGAGTTAACATGTATACTTAACACTATCTGGCCATGATCCTATTATGCAGGAGCAATTGAGCCAGATATGAAACAGGTTTAAGGGACCTAGTGAGTGTCCTCCAGACAAGTGCTACCAACTTAGGTTTCTTACTCTCATTTTGTTAGCACATAACACTTACCTATTTATTCTCCATTCATGTACAACATTTATCTCTTAATTAGACCTGCAGTTCTTCAAACCATTTTTTGGTTTAGAACAGCACCAGACATATGCTTTCTATGCTGTGTTGTCTGAACTCTGTTGTCCTCTGTATGCATTTGGACAATGGGTACTAGTTTATAATTTTTTTAAAATTTTATATTTACTAAATGCACTTATTAAGCAGAATGTTGTTGGTTTTGACATTGCCTTATTTAAAGAATAACCTAATATTAGATGGTCAATTATTCAAGCTATATGTGCAGTTAGATGGAAATATCTTAGCTTTGCAACTCCACTTTCTTAGAAGTGTTACCTTAATTGTGGGTGGAAATTGGGGCCAAAGAGAGGTGGCCTAGTGGTTGGGGCATTGCACTTGGAATCCAGAGGTTCTGAGTTCAACCCCATTCCCACAGACTGCCACTCTTGGTCCCTGAGCAAAGATCCTTAACCCCACACTGCTCCCTGGGCGCCGCACTGGAAATAGCATCCCACTGCTCCCCAAGGCGAGGGGTTAAATGCGTTCAATTGATGCTCTATACTTGTGACAGTGTAATGACAATAGAAAAAGCTGCAAAAATAACAAAAACTTTCGTTCTTAAAAAATATTTTAGGTATTAGGAATGCTATGAGACAAAACATGTCCTTACATGTCCTACATTTACTTTGATCCCAAAAATGGACCCCTGTTGATAAATGGACATTTTCCAGCTTAATCAATGAGATTACCTGCAGGCATCATAATAAATATTTTGTGTAACAGGTACAATGATAACAGACCTATGATGTCTAATCACTCCTTGTTTCATTTCCCTTTTTTTAGGTGGGCATTCACATTGATCATTATTTCCTCCTACACGGCCAATTTAGCAGCCTTTCTAACCGTGCAGAGAATGGAGGTTCCTATCGAATCTCCCGATGATTTGGCCGACCAGACCAACATTGAGTATGGCACCATTCATGGAGGGAGCAGCATGACGTTCTTCATGGTAAATTTTTTTTACAAAAAAAAGTTTTATTTCTGTGTTTGAGATGCACAGCATAGACTGGATTTTTTTTTTTTTTTGGGCTTGACTTGTTGATTCTAATTTCCTTTCTAAGAATGATAAGACAAAGTAATTTATGCAAACTGTTTTAATCTAACAAAGACTTGTAACAATAATTAACCATAAATGGTAAAAAGTCTGCAGTATGTTAAGTAGTAGAAGTAGTAGTTTTGAATTCAACAGAAAATAACGGAATTATAAGAATATCTGTATTATATTGCTTTAACTATAATTTTCACAGCTTTTTGATTTTTTTATTTACTCAAAATAAAGTGCCTCAATATTTGTTGGATGGTTTTCGCAACCTTACTTTGCACCAGCATGAAGTTGGGCTTTTCTTTCTTTTTTAAATGGATGTACCATGTTGCTTTTTAAATTTTTTTTTTTTTTTTTTTGCAGTTGTGTGCGCACTTAGAATTGCGCTTGCATGTTGCAAATAGAGTGGATGTTTGTCATGACATTTTCTCTGAGTTTCCATGTGCTCCTCTTTGTGGTTGCTTGTATTAGGTGGGTGACTGCCCGTGTTTGCTTTATCACAGTGCTTTAGGCGTATGATTTGACATCTGTGTTTGTCGTGGTGTTTTTTCTCTGTGTGATGGTGGTGTGTTTGCCTTTGGGGATGAGCGTAGGTGAGAGTTTAAAAAATATATTTTTGTGCATTTAAGGGAAGTGACTACTTGACAAGTGGTGTTTGTTTTTTTTTCTTTTTGTCCCTACTAAAGATAGAATAGAGCATTGTGTGTTTGTCTACATAAGCCGGTTTCATTGTTACAGTACATTACCCCACTCAGTATCTGATCCACAGAAACATACAAACATGCTCGCATCATTACACACGGATAGAACCCCTGCTACTGTTTTTCTACATTTACAGGTACAACAGTGTAAGAAAACAAACATAAGAGAATCAGTCAGCCATGAGAGGAAAAAGTGTTTGAAAAATGTTTGAATTATTCTTAAAATGTTTTTGTCACATAATAAAATTTTGATGTGACAGACCATCCTGATTTGTGCATAAATTTAAAATAGTCTTTTTGAGTAGATCTTGAACAGCTTTGCATATACAGAAACTGAAAAGTTGCTCTTCTTTACAATGTAGCTTAGATTGGATCTGTGGACATTACATGAAAAGTCAGCTTTTCCAGTTTTTACCTTGAACTGATATCATTTTTATCTTTTTATTTATTTGGTTTGGTTGTAGCCCTTTGTGATATTTATATGTAAAGTGCATTATAAAACGTATTAATATTGTTTTTATTACCTCCAACCCTATGGCTAAGAACTTGAGCTTTCTCTGCAACATTTCCTCCCCAAACTGCCAGTAGAAAAGGCAATTTTGTAATTTAAATGTCAATTTGAACTACTTCTGCACCTATTATCCATTGTACAAGCAATCTATGTAGCTCACCCACAACACGTACGCTAATGCATGTGCAATTTTATTTGATTGTCTGGCATTAACAATTTTGCCCTCATATGCACATCTTTTAAATTTAGGTCAACAGTGTTTGCATGTAGACAAAAACCAAAAGCAAAATTGTTTTTGTCTCTTCTCAGTAGAGGAAATTCTTTCACAGGCAAACTGCAAACAAGACTTTGTTTCATTTGTTTTGATTTTGGAGAATGAACATAGCACATACAGTAAGAATAACTTTGGCTTTCTTTCAACAATTTAATCTCACCTATCAGTTTTAAAGGATGGATTTGGGGAGTACCTGACAAAATGTTGTTGTGTCAACAGTTTTTTTCCCCCTTAACTGTGGATATTTGCAGCTATTTAACTATTACAGAACCATGAAGATTTCTTGGCTATATCCAGTATTATTGCTCCTCTTTCCCACCTTTTCAATTTAGGTGGATAAGCATGTCAAGGTAGCTTTGCTGTTGTGTGATACATCATTTTCAGATAAGGCACTGAATAATGTTCCAGTATCCAACACTAAGATATCATGTTGATATCTCAACCCTCATTTAAACTCACAAGTCTTAACTCAGACATTTATTTGTGAAATATCTTTAAATGTGTATCTTTTCCCTTTCTCCTTATTATCATTTACAACTTTGCGTTGGCCTATGACATAAAATCTTGATAAAAGAAAATGGGATTTGCGACTCTTAAATGTTTAAAACATCAAACTTTATAGGTTTTTATAAATATAGTGCAAGGAGTTCAGATATATATCAGAACAGAGGACTACTTTTTCATGAGAACTCCTAATTAACATTCTGGTCCCAGATCTGACTGAGGTGAATAAATGATGCTTTATCAGTGTTAAAGGGCCAAAAATAACAGAGTTGTTTCTTATGTTTCAATCTCTGATTGACAGCACAACAGGAATAAATATACTACCCAGGTTGTGTTTTGTGTTTTTATTGCCTTTCATGATAATGGACCTGCATGAAGGTATGCGGTTTATAAGCATATGCAATGATCCATTATAATACAAATAATGACACGCTTAAACCGCATAGTGGGACAGAAATCTTACAAGGCTGTTTTATCACAGGATTCATTCTCAACTTTAACCTTCACTAAAGCTCTGCAGGAAAGATGTCGAGTTTATGGACCTAGCATTTAAATGTTGCTATAATGACACAAAAATATTGTCAGAATAATTATTGTTTTATCGTAAACCCACCAGATGGCAATTTTAGCAGGAGTGGCAGGCAGTGTAAAAGCAACACCGTTACAGAACAAGTGATGTGATTGGCTATTATTCACCAAAAGGAAAGTAACAGAGCTCTGCTGGCAACCAGCCTGCGTCTCATGTTTTGTTTTAGATTCAATATTTACTCTTGTTTTCTGATTAACTTGTCTTTGGCCTTTTCTGTTTGCACCTCTTTTGGTGCATGACTTCAGATGCAAAGTTAATGTTTTTTTTTCTAAACATACATTAATGGCACACCATTAATGTATGTATAGAAAAGCATCTATACACAACTGCCTTGGTGTATAGCTACTGAAATGTTGCAGTAAAGAAAAAGGTCTGTATGTTTCAGGCTGCAAACCAGCAAAGTGTGAAAATGTGCTATTTATTCTTTCTCTTGTCTTTATCCTTGCTGGGCTGATATTTATAGGTTATCATTATTAACACTGGGCTTTGTCTCCAGTCTGCTTACTTCACAATTTATTTCCATGGTCAATCTCTCTTATTTTCTTTCTGCATTAGTAGACATTTGACGGATAAGTAATGTAAACAATACCCACAGTAAAATTTCCATTTTCCTGCAGAACTCAAGGTACCAGACATACCAGCGGATGTGGAACTACATGAACTCCAAACTGCCAAGCGTATTTGTGAAGAGCACCGAGGAAGGTATCGCCCGTGTGCTCAACTCCAAGTACGCCTTCCTGATGGAGAGCACTATGAACGAGTACTACCGTGGCCTCAACTGTAACCTCACACAGATAGGAGGACTGCTGGACACTAAGGGATACGGCATCGGCATGCCTCTGGGTGAGCATGTTGCAAAATCATTTTTTTCTAACAAAACAAAAAGTTTCATCACCTAGAGACAACAGGAGATTGAACTATCTGACCTTAGCTACAAACTTTACTTTTTTTGGTTTCATATGATTAAAGAATGATCCTTAGTCTTTACTGGTTTTTGTCTACATAACTTTAATTACCATATATTTCAAGTCAAAGACAGAACAGAAACTGCAAGAATTTCCTTTTTAAGGAAACTTTTTAATCTGTATGACTGGACTAAAATGACTGTAAAATGCCTTGAGATCACCTGTGTTATAAATTGGCACTATACAAATAAGCAGAATCAATTTCCACACAAAGTCAAACACCCTATCATATGACAAACAGCTTCAAAAAATTATCGCCACAAACGTGCCAACAGCAACACTAAAGCCAAAAAATATATGCATATATATATATATATATATATATATATATATATATATATATATATATATATATATATATATATACACACACACTGGGCCTTTCACCGGTGCTGTTACACTGCCACAGAATCCCACCAAAACTATTAACAAAAACAAGGTAAATACTGCAACATGTAAGCAAAAATGCGCCACAAGTTTCTTATGCATAAAGGAAAATATAAGATATTGATTATTGTGATACAAAAAACATTGACAAACATCTTTGTGATTACACCTAATCACATCTCTTGCTTGTGGATGGGGCTTTGATCTAATATAGCATATATTATGGTGTGGTGTTTGGTAACAGTGAGATGAGGGGCTGATAATGGGCTGTAACGTTAGTTGTTGATGTAACAAACAACCCAACACATCATAAAACTTAAAATGGTTTCTCAATGGTTTTTTTGCACCCTATAGGGTATTAGCTTAAAGTTTATCTCCATGTTTTAAATTGCATGAATCACACTGACTGTAATGGTGTGTTCACACCGAGTGCAAATAATGAGAGTGATTTACATGTTAGCTCTATGTAGGGGTGTGTTCAGTTTTTAGTAATGTGAATTGTGCAATAAGGATAAATAGAATGAAGCAGGAGCAATACAACTATCCTGAAATGTAAAAATCTGAGCTTTTCTGTAAATTTGCTCTGCATCGACGATGCTTTGCATTAGGGACGTGATGTTGTCACAGTGTAGGGCGAATGAGCGCAGCAGAGAAAAAGCTTCTTTCAATCAAACTGGAAGATAAAAAGATTGATGTTGACATAAGATGAAGTCCCTTTAGAGGTTTGTGGTTGTTTTTCTTTTTTGAAAAATTGCTTTATTTTAGCCTTTAGAAAGGCTGTTTAATCATTCAACCCCCCTTTTGAACTGTAGCTCCAGAAAAGGGCCAAGCCAGCAGCCTCGGCCCGGCCTTTGCTCTGTGCTCCTTTTGTCTTTTCATGTCTGACCTCCAGAGTGCCTCCTCGCCTTACCCCTGCTGTCTGGGTGAATTGTCTCTGAAGATTACAGTTTCGGGTCTTGGTCAGACAGATGTCAGCCGGGATCCACCTGTAGCTCCTGAAATCCCTGAACTGGGAGCATCTCTGGAGGAGCTGGTTGCTCAGCTTTCCACATTAAATACATTACTCTCCCGTCTCTGTAAGATCCAGGTCTGACATCTTAAGATGAAACCAACAAGCACATAGAAGTTCCTCCTGTTTTTTCATGCATTAATTAAGTAAAGTGTCTTCCTCATTGGCCGTACAAATTGTAACNTATTTGATGTACTCTCTCCCATTATTTTGAGCCCCTCTCCCTTTCTCAACTTATATTTCTGTCTCTGTGTCAACTGCATATAATATTTCTCGACAAGTCAAGTATAATAAAATTTCATACAGAATTATCGAGTTGAACAGCCATGATGGTTTAATTGTGAAAGCAAATCTGTAGGGCTATCACCTAGCACCTGGACATAAATTCTCAATGCAATTTTGGCAAACAGGACACTTAAAAAGGGAAAAACAAAATACAAAAAATACAAAAAAACGAGAGCAGGTGTGTTTGCATTCTGATTACTGGTAGTCAAGAGATGGTTTAACGACAAAGTTTGTCACCTCTATTTGCTGATTTTTAGTCAGAACAAAAAAAAAGTGTTTAAAAAAATGCCAATTTGATAAACCAGGTCTGTCTTGCCTTAATTAATTGAGGAGGAAGGCAGACAGCAGATAAAAAGAAATATTCAAAGCTGACTGTTAGAAAATCTTGGAATCACGTATTATCTCTATTACTGTTTTATGGTATTTGTGAACATCGATATGTTTGCATAGGCTTTATATTGAAATCCCTTTTACTGGATAAATCATAAAGCATGGATTAAACTTTGTTAGATGGTTTAATTCATTCAAAGAAGATCAATACCAAATCCTTGATAGGAGATCTTTAAAACAGAATCTTTTAAAACTTTAGAAATGACAAAATGCACACAGTAACACCAGTAAGGATAAACATTTTTATGTCTCTCTGTAGGCGTATATAATTTCTCATCACATTTAGTAGAAAACATTTTACATTTTTAAGCCAGTATACTTTTATAACAAACGAACTGGTAAATTGTGATAAATCAACGACAGCAAAACTGTCAGAAAATGAAATAGACAGTGGAAGACGTGGTCATGAATTAATGAGTGTCTGCACAAGCCTCTTAACGATTTCTGAAATAAACATCAATAGGGATTAAGTGGTTTTTCAGGCTTCAAAGGCTACAATCGCCTTATGAATGTTTTCCTCTCCTCGCACGCTTATGGCTTAAAGGTCATAGACACCCGTCACTGATTAGACCGATGACAGTCATGTATTGAAATAAATTTTCAAAGCAATACAAGACAACCTTAGAACTCTACTTTTTAACCTTGCAGAGTTTTGCAGTGTCTGTGCCACAGTTTGTAAAGCAAAAAATACAAAACAAAGTGGTAAAACATTTCAAACAAACTGTATTTAAATAGAAATGTTGTCAGGAATTTCAAAGCTTTAGGGACCAATAGACATAAAAATGAAACATTTAATTTAGATCGTGGAAGAGAAAGCTACCTTTTCAATTGTTTTTGGCATGTACATTCTTTATTGGCCTTGAAAGTAATTTCATGCTTTAGCTGTTTTGTTTAGACTTTGTTTGGGTTTAAAAATGAGCAGCTTGTCATACGATGTTTGGTACTGATTTGAAATCAATTCTTCCCCATCTTGGGAGCAATTCATACACTCATGGACAAAGGATGATTCATATTATTTACCATCTACTACTGTATAAAGAAATTTTTTTCTTTTATTAATATCTTCTGCTTGCAAAAATCCTGGTATATTTATTCTGGTTTGGTCGGGAATCAAAACCTTTTTACTTCGGTGTGATTTTTGGGATAGTTTTGCAATATCATCTTTCATTTAAATTATTTTTAACGCATAGATGCAAAAAGAAACATAATTGCATGTCTGTTAGACACACTGCTCTCTAGACAGTAAAAAGCAGTTATACTACTACCATAGGAAGTCTGAAGAAAGGAACCCAAAGCTCTAATTGACAAAGAAAGACAATACACTTATGAAAACAAATAAATACAAGAATAGCACCCCCATTAAAATTGCAATTAAAAGCTTACTTCTTTTAGAGGCAAAAGAGAAGCAGAGTTGGGTAGTAACTAGATACATTTACTCAGTTATATTTACTGGGCCTTTTGAAAAAAAAAGGGTTCCTCAACTAAATTATTTTCTCTGTAGTTTTATTGGATTGCACTTTATACACTTGCACTTTTTACTTTGACATGCGTACAAATATGATGAGTTATTGCTACTTTTGAGCTAAATTTCTGACTACTCTACCCATCATGAGTAACATAAAAACTTAGTGAGTAATATAGAAAAAGAATATTTCAATCAAAAATACACTAAAGAGACAAACCAACAGTTCATGGTTAAAGTGAGACTTTTCTTCAGCTTCATTATTTTAGTGTTCTTTTCTCTGAACAGAGGACGTATAAACTAAAATATGATGACACCGTCCAAGTTTGAATACCCTTAAAGAGAAACACATCTTTCTGTCTTTGCAAAAAACTCTAAATCTATTAAATTCAGAAACATATTTTTTTGTGGGCCTCTTTTGGATCATCGCTCAAATTTGCAATTAAATTCAGATCCTGGGTCTGGCTGAGTAAACTCTGCCTTAAATCCTTCAGGTGAAGGCAGCTTTTTGTTGATTTGTTGATAACAGTGATGGAAGTTGCTCTTCCTGATCCTGTTTTAATGAAAGGCTAAAAAGGATTTTACACCATCCGCTGAGAGTTTGAACTATTTATGTTGCTTTATACACCTTTGATTAGAGCTATAGTTTAATAAAAACAGTCATAGAAAGTTATGCCCCTATCCCCATGCTTTGCTGTGAGTGCAGTGTTTGGGGCTGTTTTCCTGCCAAACATACAGTTTGGAACTATATTAAAATGTTCAGGCATAATTCTTTTCATACATGCTTTTAAGAAACTTCAAATGGTTTTTTGCAAACCTTTATCAAGCTTAGATGTCTTTATTCATCAGATCAATAGAAACAGTACCAGTGGCTGTTGTATCAGGCAATACATAGCTGCTCTAATGTCGCTGTAAGTGTCTTGGCACTCTGTCTGATTAGTTTTCTTCATGTCTTTCTATCAGTTTAGAGTGATGTGCTGTTTTTGGTAATGTCACTGTTGCTCCACTTGCTTTCTTAACTTGATGAGGTGTGTCTTCACTGCTGCATGGTACATTTATCTGATGTATTTGATTTTTTTTAAACCCTTATACTGACAGAACTAGTTTATTGTTAAAATTTCTCTAGCACGTTGGGAGATCTTTGCAGATCTTTCTTTTTGATTTTAATTATTTCATAGAAAAAATGATGAAGAATATATATACATTTTTAATCTGTGTTTGCATATGGTGGTGTTAGGGTTTGGTTGTGGTTTGAGGACCCAAATGCAGAGGCAGGGAGGCAGAGGTGAGTTTCTTGATGATTTAATGAACTGTTAACAGACAGCAGGAATCCAAAAATCAAAAA